TTATAATAAAAGTTGTTTCTCTTGATAAATTCTATGTAATTCTAATTTTAAAAAAAGTAGATAGCTAATAATTAATAGGTTCATCAAGAATAAGTAATAAAATTTTTTAAATAAAAAATTTTTTAAAAGTTATATAACTTTAGTATATAGGTAACTTAAATTTTTTTTCTTATAAAATAAAAATAAATAATGCAATTATATAATCCTTATTTTCAAATATTATTAAAAAAATTTTTGGTTGAATATTTTAATTTTATAAAAATGTAGATCATAGTAGTATTGCACAAATTTTCTAGGCAAATTTCTTGGAAATAGCTTACAGATTAAGGAATAGTATAGTTAAGGTATTCTGTAGGTCTCTTCTGAAGAGGACAAAAGAGTATCTTAAGATAGAGCTCTCCTAATAAGAGAAACTAAAATATAAAGCTAGTTTGAGTAATCTTCAATAAGGTATTATGAAATTATGCAAGTTTAAAAATAAAATTAGATTAATATTAGAGATAATGATATGCTATAGAGTTTAAATAAAATAGTCATAAATATGTACTAGATATAGCAATTGGTAGATAACCTTTAAGCAGAACCTTTAAATAGATAATAATTAAAGTTATACATATAATCAATTATACTCTTACTAACTAATATAAATCTACAAATTATCTAATAAAAATTAACTAGCATTGAGATCTTATAAAAAAAAAAAAGATAGTAGCTATTTTGGTTTTGTAATAGATATTTTAGTTAATAACCTAGAGGTAGAGTTTTGTAGACTAGCTACTAAAAGATATTTATTTTTTTGTTTAGTATATGTTTTGATTTTATTTAAAAAAAAAGATTATTATTATTGTAAGAGAGCTTCACAAGATTAGAAGTTTCTCTAAATAGATAGAGCTATAACAAAAGTTTAGTTACTTTTTTAACTATATACTTTGTTTCTAATATTGTGTTTATTTTAAAATATTCTAAAGTCTAAAGCCAATTGTTTGTAGAATCAATTTTGCTTTGAAGTCTTTTCTATACTCTAAGGTAAAGTTTCTATTTCTCTAACTATCTCTTGAATCTTACAAAGTTTTAGTTAAGTATGAAATAAGTTGAGATATCTCTTATAGCATAAGTATTATTTGAAATTAGATTTTTTTCTATTCTTGCTTATAGACAGTTACTTATAAGAAATTTAATTCAAATAGAGGTTAATTTGGTATCAATAATATTTTTAATAATTAGTACTAAAAGTCCTTCTTGGTTTAAATTAAGCTAAAAGGTTGAGTAGCAAGGAAGAAGCATAGATTTGTTCTTGATCTAGTTTATTATAATTTTGTTAATTTCCTTAATCTATTTTCTACTAAGTAGAAGTAGATAATTAATATACTATATTTTAGAGATTAGAAGTGATTTTGTAATTAGAATTTTATCTTTTAGAGACAAATTTCTGGTTAATAGATTATTAATATGATCTTTAATTGATTTGTTATTTTTGTTTATAAGTCTTGTAAGAGCTGATGCTAAAATTAGATGATGCTAAAAATTATATAATCTGCAATATAAATTATAATAATATAAATATAGATACATTAATTAGATTAAATGATATGTATCAATATTGTTAAATAATATATATCAATATTGTTAAATAATATGCATCAAAAACAAGCAAAAAAGCCTCTATAAATATACTTTTTAGAACTATATATTTTTAAAGAGTGAGTCTTTATAGAGAAAAAAATATATTGTGTAATCTTTATAAGTGCATCCTCTATAAGCGTAAGCCTTCTTTAAATGCATACTTAACTAGAAACTAAATATATATTGCCTCTATAAATACATACTTAAATTTGAGTCTAAATATGTTAGCCTCTATAAATATATTTTTTAAGTATACATCATTAAAGTTCAGTTCTAAGAGCATGTACTTATAGAACTTTTACTATATAGTATTATAATAAACTAGAATTAAACTATACAGTATACTTAAGAAAATATCACATAAAGAATGCATTTATCTAAAATACTTCAGATATAATATACTTAAAGTTTATAACACTATATTCATCTAATATACTCTGCTATTAAAATTAATATAGCATTTAAATAATCTATTAAAGAAAATTAATATTCTAATAGAAGAAACTCACTATTTATTCATTATTAAAAAACTTTATAAAGAATCTATAATACTAGCATAGTACTACTAGAAAAATAATATCAGTAAAAAAGAACTAAAAAATCTAAACACTGATATTAGCAAATGTCAAATTATACTAGCTAGAGAAAGAATCAAACCACTAATACTGATATGACAGCTTCAGTAAAAAGATACTAATACTAGTAAATAATGATACAACAATACTAAATATTAATACTAATGAATAATATTAATAATATTTAAAAGTAATGAAAGCAAGATACTAATACTATAAAGAAAAAAAAAGATTAGTATGTAAAAAAATTTATTTTTTATTCAAGTTCTAATCTGTATAACTATACTTGAAAAAAATCTTTTAAAAAAAAAATTCAGTAAAAAAACTAGACTAGACTAGACTTTCTATAACCTCTTGTATTAGTATAATATTTTGAATTAGTCAATTAATTAGTTGACAACTATAGTTGCAACTAATTGATTTTTATATCATTTAACTAAATTTGTTACTTATTCCAGATTTTCTATTTGCAATTTTAGGTACTATACTTGTGATCTGAATTATGAATAGATTAGTAGTGCAACCAAAATTCAGAGTCAACATTATATACTAATATCAGTTAACTATACTATAGTAAAACTATAATTTAGATAGCTTTACTTAGTATATGACTACTATTTTATTAGTAAAATTTTAAGAGAAATTTATCAATACTAGCCTATTATAATTCTAAATTTTGGTTGATTTGCTGAATTTTGGTTGCTCTACTAATTTACTTTCATTTAATTTATTTAAGCTACTATGTCTGTTCACTTTTGTAATTTTATTAGACACAATAAAATAAACTAATTAGTTTCAAACTTCTAACTGCTATACTATAGTTAAGATTTAAAGTTTTATAAAAAAAAATATTACTTTATTTAAAAATTTTAAAATATTAAGTTAAAAAATTTTAAATTTTTAAATTTAAAAAAAAATTAAAATTTTAAATTTTAAAAAAAATCAAATTTTTAAATTTAAATTTTAAATTTAAAAAAGAAAATTTCTAAATTTACACACGTGTTTATACACGGGTATAAACAAAAAAAAATTTTTTTATTAAAAAAAAGTAATCTTTTTTAACTTTAGGGTTAGGGCGAGGCCTAAGATTTTGGCAAGGTAATAGTTGTATGCAAAATTTAGCAAGGAATTTTTTTTATTAATACCCCAAAGATGGTTTCATAAACGAAGTTTCGAGATATTGGCATTTTTTAAAAAAATTCTTTGTTTTTTGTTACACAAAGAAAGATTTACATGTTACACCTGATCTTAAATTTTGATTGGCTTTTCTAATAAGATCGTGTAACATAGTGTACAAACACTAGTGTACAAATAGCAATTCTCTTTAAAAAAAATTAAATTTTAAAATAAAAAAATTTTAAATTTATAAAAAAAAAAAAATATTCTATTGCATTACTTTAATTCTTTTTATAGGAAGTAATATATCTTTGCCATTTACTTCAATTGCTATATAATTATTAGAAGTTAATTGCTTAAATATACCTTCTTGAGAAATGTTAATTGTAGTTTTCATTTTTGAGTTTGGGGTTTGTATCATAATCTGATGCAATGATAACTTTAGTACTAAGCTCAATTGTATTATTTGGTGACTTTTTTAAGTGAACACTTCTATACTAATATATTTTTTTATAGTTTTTTCCTAATGCATCATTTACTGATTGTTAAATCTTTGATATTTGCAAAATATGTTATTCAATAGCTTTTGCTACTACTTCTGCTATTGATTCTACTGTTTCTTCTACTGTTGCTACTTCTGCTATTGTTACTTTTACTATTTCTGTTTTTGCTGTTTTTACTTTTGCTGTTGCTACTACTTCAGCTATTACTTCTACTGCTTTTGTTATTACTTCTGACTAGAAAATACTAAGTATTTCATAAACACTATATATTTTCTATTCAAATATAATCTCATATGATATATAACTATGTATAGGCTATATCATCACTTTTAATACATCATATTTTTTAAAATAAATTAAAAAGTTTATTAATAATATTAAATCTAATAATTGTTATTTTAAACTATAC